TTGCTTTGTTACTGAGAAAATTCATTTTTTCTAAATCAGGGTTGAAAAGGTCGGAATTCTGTCCGCACTTCTCAATTTTCTCCATCAGAGCTCATCTTTCCTACAATAAAAGTATTATATTCGGAATCAGCGTCGAAAACTGACTTGAATGCTGTACATCTTTTATCCTTTCCGACTATCTTATTTGTTTTGAATTTTCACATCGAAAAATTACTAAGATTTTTAGCAAAAAATGAAAATCAACGAAAATTTTATATATCGTTCGAGTCAGTTTTCGACGCTGATTCCGAATATAATACTTTTATTGTAGGAAAGATGAACTCTGATGGAGAAAATTGAGAAGTACGGACAGAATTCCGACCTTTTTAACCCTGATTTAGAAAAAATGAATTTTCTCAGTAACAAAGCAAAACAAAAAGAAAATGAATCGTATTTTTAAAGCTCGTTTAATGGCGGTTCTAATGAAGTAAGAAGGTCGGCTTCATCTCTTTACACAAAAAACTAGATAGATTTGCAAAACGATTTATGAACTTTTTGCGAGATGAGTCCAATACGTCCATATTGAATAGACTTTTGACTTCGATCTCGATCAAGTATCATTTTCATACTCGATTTTTAATGCTGAACCTGAGAAAAATACATTCGAAAAGCTAGAAGAACGAAAACGAAAGACATTCGAACGTTTTTGAAACTGAAGGGTTTTTGGAAATTTTAGACCCTTCGAATATTTTCAATTTTTTGTCTTTAAAAGATGTTTTAGAAATTAAAAGCCATTTTTTCTCTGTGAAGGCGAACAGATCTTTCTTTCCATTTACTCTTCAGCTTTGATTAGAGTTACTCCAGAATTTAAAAAAGTATCAATAAAAGCTTTGAAAAAACATATTTTCATCCATTATGGATGTTCTTTTCATGTCTTTCGTGTATACAACATTCCGAGAGGCATCGACGTGCAGTACAGGAGACTTCGTGCTAATTTCTCGGCTCTAAAGCTAATTTATATAAAAGGTCTTTGTCAGGAACAAATATATCTGAATGTGGACAGGTAGAGACTATTCAGCATTACTTTCTAGAGTGTGCGGTATACCACGCTAAAAGAAGAATCCTTATGAATAAAATCTCAGCAATGAAAAATACTCTTACCCTTAGCCTTGATCTACTTCTACCAAATGTACACCTTACGAAAGAAGATTTTCTTTTCATCTGTCACAGTCATCGAATTTATTTGTACGTCTAAGAGATTTCTACGAGAAAAAGACGAGCTTCTCGTTTTTTCCTCGCCCTTGAATCTAAGAGGTCTTTTGTTTTCATTTTTAAGTTGTTCTTTTTGTCCCGTCAATAATAATAGGGACGTGGTCTCTCTTTTGGTGGGTAGAAAGATGAGGAGTTTTGCAATAAAATAGCTTATAACAACGTTAGGTAGATAATACAGGTACCTTCAACAAAAGACATTTATTAATTCTTTTGTTCTTGATTTATGGTTCCTCGACTCTGCTACTCCAAATTGCTTCTTTAACGAATTTACTAGCTACTGAAGAGCTATTGGCTGATTTTTTGCAGATCCTGAATGAAAAAACTTCATGAGCTCCTATTGTTATTTTAAAGTGTGCATAATATTTGAAAGTTACTATCAAAAGTTCAGCGCATCAAGAAGCAAAAATTTTCCATCGAAACTGGTTTTCGTTATGACCGTAGAAATGGGTATTAGTAATGGCCGCTTGAAACAGCGAAGAGTCCAGCGTTTAGTCCTAGTCATAATGGTCTAACGAGATACTTATCACGGGTTTAGGAGCACAATGAGGCAGGAAAACATTTTTCAAAGAAATACATGAGAGAAGTGGAAGTCTTATCAAGACATTACCGACAGATTAAATTCTGTTCATCGAGTTTCACTGAAAATTGAAACAGATGTCATAATTTAGCGTTATACAGTACATTGTGTACCAGTGGCAGAAATGCTCAACCTTTGTGTATTAAGCTATTACGGTGGAAATGAAGACTGAAGATATTACGCTGTAATGGAAACAGATCTGGCCACATCTGGACCACCACGAGGAATAGGATAGAGGAAGATCCTGTCACCTAATCCAAAGTGTATAGCTCAATGTGGATAGATGGGAAAAGTAGTTTTTATCAGATCGTCAACAGTGTTGGTGGAGCTAGTTTATCAGAATGTATTGAATTCGATCATGCGTAAGCTATTTCTGATCATCAAATCACTTTTTTTCTGAAAAAACTTTTCATGAGCTTTCAGATCTGTATAGTTGCAAAGTGAAATTAATAAACAGTCTTCAAGGCGCTTAGAATCCGTGGTCCAATCTCTGCCACATTTGTTACTGATTCACTGAACAAATAAAAAAATTATCCCAAATTACTATGATTGTTGCCATGTAAAACATCTATGTTAGCACAAAACATCGAAGTGCATAGATGATTACATCATTTTCACTTATAAACGAGAGTTCAAGGCAAGAAGAATATTGAAATAAAATAATTAGCGTTTGTTACGTGGCGTTTTATACGTAACTTGTATTCTTCTTTGTGTCTGTCAGTAATGAAATATCTTTTCATGTTTTATTATCAAAAGCTTGTTCATATTATATTTGAACGAGGAAATGTCATGAAATCCGGATTATTAAAATCCTTTTTTTAACTCATCCGAAAACTATTCATCCAGAATCCAACATGTCCGGCAACTGATTCATCCGGACATGTTGAAGTCCGGATGACACAGAAAATTGTAATGGGTGACAACTACGCAAAAATGGATCGTAAACATGCTTCGAGCGCTAACGAAATTACGGAGAAAATGGTTTTGTATGCTGAGGAATTCAGTACAGGTATTATAACAGCGGAGGAATATTTAGAACAATTATCAGGGCTAGTTGGAAATTTAGATTTGTAATGTGTAAGCGCAAACTGTGTAGCTGACTAATTATTTGTAGCACTTGTTGTCTGTGTATTATATAAAAAATAAAAAATATTTATATTTCATAATTACCAGTATAATTACATAATTACCATAATTACCAGTATTTTTCTACAACTCCAGAAATTTTAATGACCTTGAAGTAATTTTGTTTTTTGTTTTTTTTTCTGTTTTAGATAACATTTACCTGTATTTGTTTGTGTACTGCTTGTGTACTATTAGTCGTTTTGAAACCATTGTTGAAGTATTATCAAGAATTATTCGAGATGTACGAACTGGAGTATTACAATAAACAAAGTATTAAAAATTATAGTAAGTTTTACATCTGGTTCTGACCCCTGTATTTTTTTTAACCGTCCTTTTACTAATTGCAGGGGAATTAGAACAATTGATTTTGAGTGACGATTTGTACAAATCGTATTATCCATCGGTAAATCAGCAATTGCTTCCAAATCTTCGATTTTTTGTAGCATCGTATGATTTTGGTGATGCTGCTTATCCAAGACAGCAGATTTATCGCAAAGCTAGCGGTGCACGTAACAATAGTCAAAAGACATATACTCTTCGTGAGAACGAAGAAGGAAAACGAATTTTGACAGTAACATCAACAAATCAAGTCAAAAAAATGAGTAAGTTATATTTCTGCTTTGCTTAACTGTTTTTATAACTATGAGAATCTGTTTATTTGTTATTTATTTTAAAAAACAGCAAATTTTCGTGTGTTCGATAAGTATACTGAAGTACAATTGTTATTAAGAAAATTGTATCATGGAATGAAATTTTCTGGAAAATTACCATCGAAAAAATCCCTTGAACGTTTGTTCTATGGTTTAAAACTTGATATTTCAGAACGACGTCTTGATTTATGCTGGTCTACCGTAAAAGCATATGTACGTCCATTGAAAAATAAACAGACGAACGAAGATTATGATATTGTACAAACTGGCGCATGGAGGTATGTTACGTTCGATCTCTGTACCCTAATAATTTCAGTTTTTCTGATGATAATTACAGTGATGATGATAATGATTCATCAACAGATGAAGATTATCGAACGGAAGATGAAGATTCAAACACTGATGAGTCAGATGCTGATGTGAATAACACAGGCAGTGGTACAGAAGATGATATGAATACTTCAATATCACTAATTAGGTAAATATTTTGTTATTTGAGACACAGTTACATACTCAACTCCGCTTCAAACTCTTTCTTCTTTACTCTTTAAATAGTGCTGGTAAAAAAACAATAGCAAATCGTACAAGTAAACGTGCAACTCCATTGAACGCTGGTGGGGGTACTACGGCAACTCAAGTAAATATTGGAAAAAAGGCATCAGTTGTTAAAGCAGCTTCGTCAAAACGACGCCCAGCAGTTAAAGATAAACAATGGTAAGCAGGTGTGGTTTGTGGTGGACGACTGAGTAAATAGTATATTTCTTTTCTAAATTCTAATTCAAGTATTCAGACTAATGTTGATGACGATACAGATGATACAAAACGAAAAAATCGTCTTACAAAAGCAACAAAAGCTCCTGCACAAAGAAAACCTGCAACTCCACGTACATCAAATAAAAAGTTAGCATTTTCATCTTTTTCTGCCTCAGATGCGACTAATATACAACTGATTAACAATCGGACTTGCATTGCTCTTTATTGCAAGTGAAAACCTCATAGAGAACACTTTTTACCGGAGTTGGTCGAGAGAAATTCCTCCGAAAATTTTTTGAACTTTTAAATCCGGATAAAATTACATCCGGGTGGAGTTGCACGGGTGAGTAGGATTTCTGGATAAAAAGTCTTCCTGGACTTAAAAACATACGGATTTTAAAAATATGGATTTCATGACACTCCACGATATGAACTAATACTAGTGAGTAGTAGTTTATTTACAAAGAAAAGAGACCCACTGACTTTAACAAAGAAAACAGATCTATTTATATACGCAATATTGCGCAATCATATTGAGTATTGTAGTGCAATACCATGAGCATATCGTGGCGTAATTATCTTGATCGTGTTCTTGCACAATTACAAATAGGTCGTTTCGAAGAATGGAACAGAAAATTGTGTAAGAATAAAAACGACGTAATAAAGTGTATATGCAATAAGGGGACAGTGACGAAACATATTTACATCAGAGAATGAGAATTTCTACACTTTTCAACACGTTTTTCTATATCAAAATCAGCTCACACGTCTTATTTGAGTGCAGAATTTCGATTCTCCATCAATTCCGATAAAGTCATTTTCTGAATGTTTTTTTTCATTCGTCATCCAGTCTCCCATTTTTCACATACATAATATCGAGTTATGCAATATCGCAACAGGTTCAGTACGTTGTAGTGTAGTATGAGTGTCGTATTACACACGGTCGTCGATAACATATATCCGCGTAACATGTAACCGCGAACGCGGTTACACGTGTGTAATACGTCCACAATTAGTTTTGCGTTCGCGGTTACATGCTTTGGTAAATATATATCTGGGCTATTTAAACACTTGAAATAAGAGTGTGATTTATTAAAGCCAACATACATAACATGTTCTTCCGTTTCATAAAGATTACACATAGTAGAACGCATCAAAGAGGAAATACATTGGCTGAATAAATCACACACACTTATTTCAAGTATCAACATATATGACATATTATTCTGTCTACACATTAATTTTGTCGTTGACGTGGGAACAAGAACAGGCTCTTCCACAACAACGACCATCACAACCACAACGAAATTTCCACTTTACATGTATTTCCTCTTTGGTGCGTTCTACTATATGTAATCTTCATGAAATGGAAGAACATGTCATGTATGTTGGCTTTAATAAATCACACTCTTATTTCAAGTGTTTAAATAGCCCAGATATATATTTACCAAAGCATACATACAAGAGAAAGTAACCACGAACGCAAAACTAATATTTATAGAATCAGTTATGCCAGGTATGTAAAACGTTTCTTTCTGTGTGTACAACGCTGTTTTGCTCTCAATAAGAGCTCATGTTAGTTAGGATTAGCCTTATGAAACGGCACATAATCTTAATTTTAAATTGTACAATTTTAGAGCCATTTGAACATGCAAGCACGGATGGTAGGTTAACGTTTTCACAGAAGGAATGCCAAAATCAAAGAACTGACTGTTAAATAGTAGGTGATTAAGTACCAGTGATCCGCTATGAAATAACGCCTCAGTTTTCGGAACAAATATAAATTTATAAGATAGATTTTTAACTGAAGAAATCTCTTCTTTACGCTTCAGCGGCTGCAGCGTCCATGTTAAATAATCAGGTAAATAAAATTGACAAATAATACTCAAAACAATTGAATTATACGTAAAAGTTGCAGTGCTCTTCTTATCTCTCCTTTTGGCAAACTAACTGCTTTCGCTTAGAAAACCGAAGAAATGGTTTTCATTACACAGGCAAGTTTTGAAATAGACTGGAAAGAATGGATTACTTACCAGATCAAAATTCATTTAGGCTGATTCGTCAATTCTCGTATTTCAACCAAGCAACAGCAGTGAGCAATATGGTACAAACAACTGATATTTTTGATTATGCATTTTAACTTGTATTTCTTGGATTCGTAATAAAGTCAAATAGGCACAAAGAAAGTTGTAAAACATATTTCTCAAAGAGACAGCTCTAGAGATGCGCTGGACAAAAGTACGATCAAAGAGAATTACTTAAACATAGAATTTTTATGTTTAATTTCTAAATGGAGGAGGATATGCGTTTTTCGCTTTAAAATAGATTTTTCAGAGACCTGATTTTCCAGAAAAGTTTCGCATAAGTCCGTAGATATTTATTATCGTTAGTTTTGGGATCACTACATTAGAAAACCGATTAAAGTGGCAAAAAGTATGAGCTTTCGCATTTTGTAGCCTAAAAAAACCCAAAGACTTTTTTAGAAAACCACTTTTGAAAAACCCTAACTTCTCAAAAAGTGTTCCATAGGAAAGAGCATGTGCGAAAAGCTGTAAATGCTTAATTTCGAGGTATTCGGATCAATGTAAAAGCAAATTTCCGCGTGCCTATCCAAAATTGCTCACTGCGCATAGGTTTCTCGCCGTTGAATAAGTCGTCCACTTGCCACAGGTTTTCCGAAAGTATTGGTAACGTCAAGGTTCCCTGGGACACGTTTTCACTATTTTATATATTTGAAATTGTGGGTCGAGAAATTCTCTTTCGAATGGTATATCTATTGTAGTGGCTGGTTGAGAAAGCATGTCATATATTATCTTAGACTTTTCCACGTAGAAGATCATTTTCCATCGCCAGAAATATTTCGAAATATGTTTGACCTCAGAACGACGATTTCCGTATAGGTGATGTACAGAAATACAGCGCAGAAAAAGAGCTTTCGAATGAGATATAATAGGTCTAGTAAGATATGAAGCCGAAAGGGACACACTCGAAAATATGATCGATAATACATATCAGAAGGAGCAGAACTTTGATTACAGTTAATTCGACCGAATTTTTGCTGAGAGCAATCCTAAGGTCTGCCGGGTGTCTAGAAATATTCTCCTGTTCGTTCTGCATCTAACCATGTATGTGTCGGTGGAATTAAGGCAGGGTCCGATTCCATCAAATAATCGCACCCCGTCTCACTGAAAATGAGTCGAAGAATAAAAAAAATAGATAAATTTACACTACTTACTCTTCCGCCAGTATTTTACTTTTAGTCTGCTTCTCAGCTTTTACTTTTCTATTGGTCAATCTTCTTATAACTGATTGTTCTCAGTTTCTGGAAGCTTCTTTTTTGAGAATGTCTTAAATTTATAGAAATATTGTTAATTTTTGTGAGGTTATTCCTTTCGGAATCGTTTTGCATCCAATGGTTAATAGCCAAAGAAGAATGTAACTGTTACTCACACTTTATTGCTTTTTCATTCAGTCGACAAGACAAACTATTAACAACACATACATCAACAACGCATAATAACAAGTGATTTACAGATAAGCAAAGTGAGTGAGTACTACTAGATCTATCTTCTTGGCAGCTCTATCTCACTACTGTTCGTTCTTTGAACTGTGTTGCTGCCCCTATGATATTTCTTTCGAGATTTATCATAGCAGAGTAGATTTGTATATTCTAACGGGTGGGCCAGATAAAACCGGCCACTTTTGTTCGGTTTTTTTGGTCCCCTTAACTGTGGTTGCAGATAATCATTTTATGCTCAATCGATACAGAATTTTCCGCTCTACAAATCTGTAAGTGTTGTAGATAAAATATATTTTCCATTTGTTTCGAAAAATCATGAAAAGTGACGAGCTTCAAAAGGTGATACTGCGATTACATGAACAAGGTTTGAGTAGCCGACAAATTTCGAATCAACTCGTGGGTCAAGACAGCAAAACAACGATCAACGGCTGGGTAAAAATGCGTCGCGAATTCGGTGAGCTCAGTTTGATAAGTCCGCCTGGTCCAAAACGTACCAAAAGAACAAAGAGATTGGTGCAACAGGTGAAACAACATCTTCTGCGTAACAAGAAGAAAAAATCTGCAAGAAAATTGGCCAAATCACTGAATGTATCAA